ATGAAAAGGCAACTATAAGGGGAGAAATTAGCCTCTGATCTTCCAATATAAGAGCAGGTCAAAAAAAAAAAAACTTTTCCAACGTTTACAAGATCATAAATGTTACAGATGGGATGAAAATAAGCACAGAAAGACCAAACTAATATGGCTGATATTTAAATAAGTCCACATCCAAGGAAAATGAAATGTTGTGACAGGATAACAAAAATGTATGAGATGCATTATCCCATTATGTTTAGAATAAAATCCAAAATCCTTGCCTTCCTGCCTTTTGTGGTTAACAGGGATGGACCTTGAGGGCATTATATTAAGTGAAACTGGTGACACAGAGAAAGACAGATACTGGATGATATCGCCTACATGTGGAATCTTAAAAAGCCAAACTCAGAAACAGAGAGCAGAGTGGTGGTTACTAGGAGCTGGGGGTTAGGGGAAATGCAGAGATACTGGTCAAAGGATACAAACATCCAGTTAGAAGATAAAAAATAAGTTCTAAGGAATATAATGTATATAGCATGGTGATTATAGTTAACAATTCTGTAATTGTTGCTAAGAGAGGCAGATTTTTTTCCCAAAAGGACATGTAACATGTTTAATAGCATTCTCTTATTACATTTCATTATTCATGGCCAGGCCCTGAATAGGGGCTGATTAGTGTACAATGTAAACAGAAGGACACAGCAGTGGCAATATTTTTTAAATTAACTTTTGTGACACAAGTTATACATGAATTCATTTCTTTTTATTAAAAAAAAAAAAAACTGCAGTTCAGGCTCAAATTCCCATCGATCAACTTCCCAAATCCAAAACTTTCCCCTAAACACAGGGGTAACCACTGGTACCACCTTGTTTATATATTTGCCTAATATATCCATAGAAGATATATAGTACTATCACATGGGTTTAGGTTTTGGTAGGGTTTTTTTTTTTTACATAAATTGTAAACTACAAATATTCTGCAACTAAATTCGCTTTTTACAAAAAGTCTTATTGAAGTTGGTACATACAGATCTACAGCAATCTCTTTTAATGCTACATAATATTCCCAACATGGACACATGGTTTACTTAGCCAACTCCCTATTGACAGACATTTTCTCCCATTATAAACATTGTGTCCCAGTCAAAGGCTGGAGCCTTCTCCAACCTTGTCCAGCCTGGTCCTATGGTCCCACCCCTTGTGAACAAGGAGATTTATCATTTACACTATGTTAAGGGTATAAAATAGCAAAAGTGTCCTTAGAAACATTTTATAATAAATTTATAGTAATTTTTGTTCAAAGTCCTGGATCTTACTAAGATGATTTCTTTTTTATTTGTTTGCTTTTGGAGTTTTTTTAATTTACAATTGACATATATAACATTATAATTAATTTCAGGTATACAATATAATGATTCAATATTTATATATATTGCAAAATGATCACAATAGTCTAATCAATATCCGTCATCATATATAGTTACAAATTTTTTTATGAGAATGGTTAAGATCTACTCACGCAGTGACTTTTGAATATGCAACAGTCTTATTAACTACAGTCACCATGCTGTCCATACATCCCCATGACTTATTTATCTTATAACTGGAAGTTTATACCTTCTGACCACCTTCACCCTTTTCACCCACCCCTCCACCACCCTGCCTCTGGCAACCACTAATCTGTTCTAAAAGAGATCTCAAGTGTTCTCATCATAAAAAAGAAATGGTAATTATCTAAGAGATGGAGGTAATCATTTTGCAATACGTAAATGTATCAAATTAACACATTTTACATCTCAAACTTACATAGTGTTATATGTCAATTATATCTCAATAAAGCTAGAGAAAAAAAGAAAGGATGGGGATAAAAGGCAGAAAAAGAACAAGAAAAAAGATAAAGAGCTACATATGAGGAAAATTAGGGCACTATATTAACCAGTTGCTATTCAGTTTTGCAAAAGGAACTGGTTCCTGCTAACGAATATAACAAGCATAATGAACAAATACACATAACAAAATATATAAGGAAACAATTCTTAGGTCTCAAGTTCTTATTTTAGACTCTGAACTTTCTGATTCAGTTGTAGTGAATAAAAACCTGCTTAGCTTTCAAGCTGCAATTCCTCCAAGTTAGCAGTTCAAGTAACAAAAAAAATTCTGGGTGGAGATGAAGGATGCACCAAGACAAAAAACAGTGAACCTACACAGAAGAAATTTTATAAAGTTGAAAACTGAAAAACAGTTCATAGAATAAAATCTTGCTCTTTAGCCATCATGAAACTCTTCTTTGAAGGCTGTTTTAAAACAACAGCATCTTTGAGACATTTATTTAGTCTAATTCTTGTGAAGCACAGTTGATCATCTTTAAAAGCCTTAGTTACACTAGCAGTTCATCTCGGTTAACAGTTTTCAAATCAGTATTCTATTTTAGAAGACATATAACATTCATAGATCTTTATCAGCCAGAAGAATCTCATAATCATCTGCCCTGTTCTCTGTATGCACCGAAGTAAATTAATTGGTGACTCTAGTATATTCTTTATCTTAACATGGATGTGAGACATCCTTCACTACAGTTGCCTCTCTCTGCTTCACAAGATAATAAAAGCGGTTCCGGAATCTGTAGCCAGAACCCAACTTTGGTGCTAGAAGGTAAAACTGTAACAAACCAGATGAAGACAGAAGCTGACCAGATAATTTACTTGCAGTGATCAGGAAGCCATACCAGCAGAACAGACACGCTCCATCCTCAGCTCTTGTAGAGACCATCAGCCTTTGATAGAGTACACACCCCCATGGCCACACTGAACACAAAGAAAGGACACCCATTTCTCTCTTTCTGTTTCTCTTTCTCATAAAGGACTGACAGCAACTGACATAGGAAAGAGAGCTGGATGCAGAAAGAAACTTGGAAATTCTACTCTAGTCAATTTAAGACTTTCATTAAATTCAGACTTTTTCCTGCCACACAATAAGATTGTCACTAGGTCAAAGGAAGAAGAAGAAATCTTCATGCCTTGAGATTTCAACTATTTTGCCATTTAAAGTGTATATTGTTCAAAGCTCATTATATCTTGAACTGGATCGCAGCTCCCAGTAATAAATATATTCTACATCATAACCCAGTACACACAACACAAATACAATTTAAAACAAAAGTTTCAAGACAGTGACCCTTACTACATGCAATGAATATAGTAAATGTCTATTTTATGTTGTCTTCTTTTTTAATGCTGGCTACATACCACAAATTGATCTTATAACCAAATAAAGGTTATAACCACAGTTTGAGAAACACTGTTATACTATATACATGTGGTCTGCCTCTGCTTACCTCTCTACCCAAATCTCATGCTATTCACCATACTCCTCCTACTGCTGCCACCCCCACCCCACCCCACAATCTAATTTCTACTCTTCTTTTACATTAAACCATAAGGTCAGTGCCTGCAATACTCAAAGCCTTTTCCTGTCTCAGGGCCTTTGATCTTGTTGTCAGGCTGCCTAGAACCCTTCCCTCAGATCACTGCCCTTTATCATTTAGAATTCAAGACAAAAGTCACTTCCTCAGAGGGGCCTTCATTGGCCACCCAATCTGAAAGAGCCACCACACTCAACTCCAGCCAGGGCAGAGGGTTAGGGGAGTAATTCACTGCTCTTAGGGTTGTTGGGAAGTCTGAATGACAAAATATAAGAGCAGCACAAAAAAAACCAGTACTCCACAAATGTCACTTTTCATCTCCCTATGCCATTGTACGAGTCATTGAATTCTAGCCATTGAAATTCTATTACATTTGCTTCATGATGGCTTTTCTGATTCTGAAAAGTGAAAGCTCCATCCTCCAATATACCCCAAGTACTCTGTACCCTCTCAGAGCATTTATCACATTCTTTCTTACTTTTTTTTATTCATTCAGCAAATATCTGAGTGCCTAATATGTTCTAAGCAATAGCAGTGAGCAAAATAAAGATTCATTCCTCTAATAGTTCACAGTTTGGTAAGGGAGACAAATCTATAGACAATTAATTTCAGCTGAACGTGGTAAGTACAATAAGAGAGACGTGTACTATGTAAAGTTGTGACAGAAAAAGAATGAAGAGTCACTCTCTCTCAGTAGAAAAGTGAGGCATCACAGAAGAGACACCTATCCAGTGCCTGGAAATGGATTGCTGAGTAACAGAGAAAGAAAGGGTGGTGAGTGGGGCTCTACTGCTAAGTTACTAGCTATACCCATCTGACAACAATCATTTTTCTATCCTCCAGTCCCTTATTCGTGTTTAAAAGATTTAGTAATTAAGAGAATTAACTAGAACCCTGGTGTTCTCAAACGCGTGAGTGAATTAAAATCACCTATAGGCTTTTTTAAAATGCAAACACGGAGCCCCATTCCTATTCATTAGGAATTCCTCCGGGTGAAGCTCAAGCAAGTTAATGTTCCAGAAGTGATCTCCAAGTGATATTGAGGGGCATTCCTGTTAAAAAGCACGGGCCAAGGAGATAATCAACAGGCCAAAAAAGAACTAATGCAAAATACAGCTGTTACTTACTGGCCCTTAGGGTGTGGGAGAGTGTTCGTCCACTCAAGAGACCAAAACTGCAGGATCTAGGGAGACTCGGAACGGTAATGAGAAAGTCACACATACACCAGCACATACTCTTCAATGAAGCGCGTTAAGGTGAAACAGCTTGGGGAAGTGGGAGGGAAGGAATGATGAAAATGAAAACATTTTAAATATTTGTTCGAAATAATGTTTCACCTCAGACTATTAGACTCTGTATCTTACCCCTAAACTTTCTGTCACATCACTCTAGAGGCTTAGCAATACCAAAGTGGAATTCACGATGCTCCAAGAAATAGGGAAAGCAAGGAAACTGCAGGCACAGCCCGTGGAAAGGGAGAAAGATAGCAGGGCGAAAGCAGAAGGAACGCGGACGCCTCTCGGTGCCCGGACGCCTCAGGAGCTGAGACGCAGCGTAACCAGACCCCAGAGCAGTCCTTCTGGCCTCGCCTGGCACTCACCATCGCCTCAGAATATCCGCACAAGGAAACAGGTATCTTCGGGACAGGAAGACGCGAACACGAACACCAACGCCGGGTTACTCTGGCAACACAGCTCCGCCTACTGCCGGACTCTGCGCCAGGCGCCTCTGCCCCGCCCCTTAGTCCCTAGTGGCTGAGAGTAAACGTAGCCCCGCCCCTCCAGCCGACACACCCGCCCCTTCACGCCGTTGCCTGGGGCGACGGAACACCGCCTACCTCTTTCCAGCATCATCACTTCCGTTTCGTTGACAGATGACCCGGAAGTTCAAGCTAATACGCGCCTGGGGTCGAAATAGTTTCTCTTTTATTTTTTGGAAAGGGTTTAACCAGTTTTCACTTCCTGAAGTCTTACACCATATGTTCTATGTTATTTGAGTTTAAATGAAGCACAAGTGTGATTACCCTTTTCTTTGGGAAAAATATTCCGGAAAGGAAACCCTGAGTAATCGGAAGTGATTAGTAGTGAACCAGACGTTTGATGTCACCAAGGCCTGGGCGGATCGGTTTCGGAGTGTGAGAGGAGTGTGCGGGGAAGTTCACCCAGGGATACTAAGCCGAAGAACCTGTAAAGTGAGGCCCCCTGCGATAGGAAGAGTAGGAATCTGAGAGGTAAGTCGACGAACGGGCTTGTGCAACTAAGTGGGGATTTTGGACAGGCACAGAGGTCTGGGTTGAGGTTTGGTGTTAAGTAGCTTTGGATTTAGGGAAAGGTTGGTTGTTGTTCCAGGCAGGCTTGTTCAGACAGGGACGGAACGTCATTGTTCTTTCCAAGGGTATTTGCAGACCTGTTTTCAGAACATTAGGAGGAGGGTTTGTGACTTTTGAGGAAGGTAGTTATGGAAGACGCTGTGCCGAGTAATATTCAGTAGTCAGGAGTGATCGTTTTTGTGTAGAAACCGGTTGTTATCTGGTGTCCAGTTCATCATATTCATAAATCACTGCCATAGTGTCACCCTCGTTCTCATGTGCTCCGCTGAACCTTAATCTATCCTGTAAGGCCATGTATACATTTCTAAAAGCATATACTTTGCCATTTTATTTTTATTACCCAGATCTGCTAATTACGTTATCATGAATTTTTTGTCGTGTGTTAAACATCTAAACAGAAGCTCCTCTCTGATATATATATATATATATATATATAGAACAAAATAGTGTAGTAATGTCTCCAGAGAATGTAATTACTTTTAAATTCCTCCTGTCATATCAATGATACAAAAACCCCTACAGTATCTACAGTGTTATTGCTGAGCTACAATTAAGAACACACATCTGATAATTTAGAGTGTACTGGTGATCATTTAGAGTATACAGTGAAATAGAAATTTCAAAGTAAACCACCCCTTAATTTTTTTTTTTGAGACATTTGGTAGCCATATAATATCACCTGTGGAAAAGGGCTATGAGGGGCACTCGCTAAATGCAGGTTTACTGAATGCAGGAGGAAGTAGAATATCAGAGTATTTCAATTACAGGGACTTAGTGAATGTGTTTATATGGTATTGTTTAAATTCTTTCATTTTATACATTTTTAGGTTTTTTCAGTAGAAGTCTTGGGGTGCATTTTCAGTTGTTAAAAAAGGATGGCTACTCTTGAAAGTTTAGAAGCCAAAGGTAAGTGTTCTTCTTTTGATGATAATTGTTTTAAAAATGTGAAATTTATGACAATAGGATGAAGAAATGTTTAAGTCAGGTAACCAAATCTCACAGAGCCCGTGGGAATCATTTCTGTTTCGGATCTTTTCATGTTTGTTTTTTAATGCAATGGTTACATCTCAGTACTTCAGATATACAATTGAGTATTAACATTATTTGGTAGTATATATTACATTACTACCACTGTTAAACATTTAGTGTAAAAGGAATGTTCTACAGCCATGTTCTCTATCCACCAGGAGATTTAGATTTAAATAAATAAGAATATACATTTTTAAAGATTTAAGTAGATGGACAAACAACTAGCAAGTTTAAAAGACATTTTCTTATTGCATTGATTTGTTACGGCTACTATAACAAAGTACCACAAACTGATGACTTAAACAATAGAAATTTATTGTCTCGCAGTTTTAGAGCCTAGAAGTCCCTCTGCAGGCACTAGGGAAGGATCTGTTCCAGGCCTCTCTCCTAGTTTCTGGTGGTTTGCTGGCAATTTTTGTTACTCCTTGGCATAGACACATCACCTTGATCTCTGCCTTTTTGTTCACATGGCATTCTGCCTGTGTGTATATGTCTCTGTGTCCAAACTTCTCCTTTTTATAAAGACATCAGTCATATTGAATTAGGGGCACACACTACTCCAGTATAATCTCATCTTAACTGATTACATCTGCAAAGACTCTTTCCAAATAAGGTCACATTCTGAGGTATGGAGAATTAGGACTTCAACATATGAATACTTGGGGCTGAACTCAATTCAGCTTATAACACTTGCTATCCACATTATTTACTTTATAGTTCTGCGTTGCTTATCATTTGTATAACATTTCATACTGTTGATCATTCCCACCTTTTGAAATACTTTCCTTGATTTCCATGACTTCACTCTTATTTTCCACCTACTCTGTGGCCCTTCATTGTCCAGTGCAGCCACATGCATGGGCTATTTGAGTTTAAATTAATAATTTTAAAAATTAAAAATTCAGTTTCTCAGTTACACTAGCCACATGTGACTAGTGGCAATTGTATTAGAAAGTACACATATAGAACATTCCCATCATTGCAGAAAGTTCTACTGGACACCCCTGTTCTGGCTATAGTTTCTTTTTCATCTTCCTCTTCTTCTGGTTTGTCTTTTTAAAATCAGTTTTTTTCAGCCCTAGTTTTCTTCTGTCAGGGCTGAGGTAATTACCTGTAAGAATGACTGCCAAATCTATTTATAACTCACATCTCTTCCTTTGTGATTCATATCCTTAAAGGCTACTGCATTCTTCACTTACACATAGGTAACAGTCTTAGTATGTCCCAAAATGAGCTCCTCCTGATTCAGGTTATTCTTGGGTGGAGTGAGTTCTTGGGCAGTGAGAGATGGGAAACTATTTCGTAGAAGCCAGTTTTGCAGCAAGCCAATCTCCAACAGCAAACTCTTTAAAGGGAGTTTAAATGTTTTTAGGAAGCAAGGAAGCAAAGATCAGAGTCACTGGGAGGCTTTTTATGAAGTATTAGAATAAGCAAATCAGAAACTGAAATGAAGGTAATAAACTTGGGATTAATGGGAAGTAAGAGCAATTAAATGGTAACTAATATGAAAGTAATTAGCATGGTGCTTGGCAAAAAGCAAAAACAAAATATGACAATATCATTAGTAATTAAAAGTTATTGCAAGACCTCAGTGAAATTAAACTTTTTTATTATTATTTGTTGTTACCTGTTTGTAATGAGTTATAAAGCACTTTCACATACATTATTTCATTTGATCTTAATTTTACAAAGGTAGCTAATTCAGCTATTAGTCCTAATCCTACTTAATATGTTAAGTGTTGTCAGTGAAGAAGAGTTACTCCTATTGCATCGCCTGAGAAAAGGTGCACTTACCATGCTTGACATTTGTCAGTTGCCTGCATTTCCTGTAACTGCCTCAGAAGAGAAACAAGATTGGCTTAATGGGGATGGAACGTCCTCTCAGCAGACATCTGAGCAGTACTGTCATCATGAGAGGGATGTGTCCTTGCTGCTAGGGCTGTTTCTGAAAGGGAAACATGCAATAAATAGGAACAACTAGAAAATTAGAATTTGAATCCAAAAATTTTCTTGGGAGCAAGGTTGAAATTAGAAGTAAGGAGATTAAAGTCAGCTAGTGAAAGTAGACCAGTGAGGAATGTCTGAGATGTTTAAAT